GTGAATTTGATGTGGAAAAGTTTTTGATATGAATTAAATTAGAAAGGCTGCGATAAGGTTGTATCATTGCGTATGTTGCAGCTGTATATCAAAAGATAAAGATATGACCTTGAAATTATCATACTTGACAGCTATGCACATGTTTATCTACAAGGTCGCATGTCATTTCACGTAACTAAACACTGACTTATTAAATGCTAAACACATATTGACAAATGTAAAATATTAATGAACTGATACCCCAATATTTATCACAAAAAAATTTAATACCGTAATTTATATGAACAGTAGCCATTTAAATGAAAATAGCGTCGACAAAAAATATAAAAGTGGCTAAAATATTGTACTGGTTTGGAAATATCCACGCATACCTCCATTTATTAATTTGAGCATACATAATGAAAGTACTGTCACCTCTACAACGCGTTCCAAGAATATATTACCTGCAAACCGAAGTGATAAATATTTCTCAAACAGTTCATTTGCAAGGGTATTCAAGAATCCACTGTATAACCGGCTTTACTGGTTCATAAAGTTTACGTAGAAAGTCGGCATTAGAATAATGATTTTTCTTAAAATCATATTGCATAAAAGTGCGATGGTACAAATCAATATGTTTCGTAATATTTTTGTAATATTTTGAGCAATGTCCGGCGGATTCTGTGCACGTGTTCGTAAGTTGACAGCTGGAAAAATACCAGACTGTATTGGTTCACATGCCAACTTGCTGGACGTGCGCGGTATAAATCGGAATCAAAGTAACTTATAGCAAAATAAAAAATTTTAGAATAAATTCAGTGTTCATACATTTTTAATTAATAGTGAAATTCACTGTAATATTTACAGATTATTTATGAAGTACATTGAAGTACTTGCAAATTTTAAATATACTATGGTATTTATAAATTTTAAATTTACAGTGAAGTACATAATAAAATTTATGAGTTTTTAATTTGAAATAAAATTACATTTTTGGAACAAAATAACAAATTTCACAATCCCCAATGAACTGCATTAAATTTTTAAACTGACAATGAATTACAGGCTAGTATTTACAATTTTTAATTTACAATAAAATTACATGTTTGCAACAAAATAAACAATTTTAAATCCCCAATGAAGTACGTCAAATTTTTAAATTAACAATGAATTATATTCTAGTATTTACAAATTTTTAATCTGCAATGAATACACACTTGTAATAAAACAAATTTCGCAACGAACACCCCATAAAATCTTCAACAAACATATTCCTACTTTATAACAAAAATTATAACCTCAAACTTTAAGTTCACAGTAAAATTACATTTACAAGTCACAGATTCACAACAAAACAAATGTTCACATACTATAATCAACCATAGGAAAGTATAATCAACCATAAGAAAAAGTATTCCCTGTATGTCAGCATCGAAAATGCAAGGAACGACGTTCGAACGGGGCGTCATTTCGCAGAAATGGCGGACGGTCAGTTTGCTCAGTCATAAATTTTACGAGTCGTAAATCGCGCGTAAATGTAATCGTTGAGCGTATGAGATACAGGGCCATGAGCCCGTTCCTCATCGAGCACTTAGATTTCGTAACTGTCGTTTCCGATGTCCAACCGTCCTCGAACTTGTGCTCGCGACTCCGGAATTGTGTTGTCGATGTGCCTCCGAGCGAGAGATCAGCATATGTTGTTACGCAGTTATAGCATGGCGCCTGCGGACAGCTCAGGCAACGCGAGACGAACAAGAGCGTCCAGTGTGCCGGAGATATATCGTGGAGTACGTATGCCTGCGGTTTACCGCGTACCATTCAACGGGTTGTCCGTTTGGTAGCATGGTACATATGTTGAAAACGTAAGGTGAGGCAAGAGTAAGTGGCCTACACTTCTAATGTGCCCGTATGATACGCTACGAACTTCAAGTTCCATTTTCTAATCTCTAAAATTCTTACAGAAGTTAATTTCGGTATTGCAATGCACTCAATTTGCAAGTTTTTAAATCTTCAAATTACTGGGATTTTTAAATTTATAAATTAAGAATAGTGGAATCTGGAAAATAGAGGTTCAGTTTAAGGATTTAAGCTTCAGATTTTGGAAATGTATTAGTAAATCTGAAGCTTAAATCCTTAAACTGAACCTCCATTTTCTAGATTCCACTATTCTTAATTTATAAATTTAAAAATCCCAAATGAATAATTTATTCATTTCCAAAATCTGAAGCTTAAATCCTTAAACTGAACCTCCATTTTCCAGATTCCACTATTCTTCAAGTTTCAGATTCTTGAATTTCGAATTCCTTACATTTTCAGTTCCTAAACTCACAAATTTTTAAATCCCAAAATTTTGAAGCTTCTAAATTTTTTAATTCTTACATTTCCAAATCCTTAAAATCCCAAATCTCTGAATTTCCAAATACATACATTTCCAGATTCTTAAGTTATCAAATCCCAAAGTTTTTGAACCTTAAAATTCCCAATTACTTCAATTTCCACATCCCTAAATTTCCAAATCCCGACATTGCAAAGTACCTAAATTCTCTATTGTTTAAATAACCAAATCCGTAACCTAACCTAACCTAACCTCCCAAATCTCAATTCCCAAATGCCTAAATTTCCAAATCTCAAAATTGCCAAATACCTAAATTCCCAAGTACTTAAATCTCCAAACCCCTCTAGGGTTCTCAAAACTCCCAAGTACCTAACCTCTCAAATCCCTAAATCTCCAAACCTACATTCCCACATCCCTAAATCTCCAAACCTATATTCCCACATCCCTAAATGTCCAAATCTCAAAATTGCCAAATACCTAAATTCCCAAACCCCTCCTTAAGTTCCCAAAATTCCCAAGTACCTAACCTCTCAAATCCCTAAATCTCCAAACCTAAATTCCCAAATTCCCAAATTACCAATACTCAATATTGCCAAGTACCTAAATTCCCAAGTACTTAAACCTCCAAACCCCTAAATTCCCAAACCCCTCCTCAAGTTCCCAAAATTCCCAAGTACCTAACCTCCCAAATCCCTGAATCTCCAAACCTAAATTCCCAAATGCCTAAATTTCTAAAGCTCAAAATTGTCAAGTACCTAAATTCCCAAGTGCTTAAATCTCTAAACCCCCAAATTCCCAAACCCCTCCTCAAGTTCCCAAAATTTCCAAGTACCTAACCTCTCAAATTCCTAAACCTCCAAACCTAAATTCCCCAATCCCTAAATTCCCAAAACCCAAGTTCCCCAAATCTCAAAACTCCAAATCTTCAGAATCACCAATTTCCCCAATTCTAAAATTCCAAACCTCAAATCCCCAAACCCCAAAATTTCCAATTTTCCATATCTGTCAATCCGTCAAATCCAAAAATCTGTATCCCCGTCGTTGGTAGCAGCCGTGCAAGCAATTTTTCCCGAAAAACTGTCGGTCGCCGAATTGAAAATCCAAAGGGGGGTTGCGCTCCGCTTCCCTCCAGTCTCGGGCCGAAAGTAGGTGTGGAATAAGATCACGGCGCGACCCGTTGATCGTGTGCGTGCAACGGGGGCGAGTGTTCGGGCAGCGAGCACGAGAGAGAAGCCTCGAGGAGCAAAAGAGTAGCAGGATCTTTCGGATGGTTCGGGTTGAATATCGGTGGTGGGGTCTGTAAGGGCGGTCTGCGCACGCGCGGCTCGCGGCGGAACAGCTTCGCGCGGCGACGCTCAGTCTCGTCTGTCGCAATCCAGTGCAGATATACGTGCAATTACCCTGTCAACAGTGCTTAAAATCTCTCGTGGTGCTCGTGCTATTGCTCCTCGTATGGTGATCGATAACGTTCGCCGACCGATAACCCATCGATCCTGTTCGCGAGTTACGGGACGCTGGATCGAGTCGCGTGCCGCGGCCACGTGAAGGAAAAATTAAACGTCCCTCCAATTCGCGGCGATTCGAATCGCCGCCTGTCGCCACCGCCGTCCTCCAAACGGAGCCGCGATCAGTCGCTATCGCACGCTGCGCCCGGTGAGTTTGACGTTTCAGGCAACGCGTGCTCCCCAAGTTCAGTTCCCCAAACGGGTGGTGTGCTCGACGTGTCCGCGTGTAACGATGACCGTCTCGTGAAACAAGTGAATGCACCTCCGATGCTTTGTCAACGATAGGTACAACCGGACCTACCCGCGTGTGCTGTGTTACAGTGTGAACGGACCAGTGAAGGACTAAGTTCTCAAGGATTCGAGATGACTCGCCACCTGTGGCTAAGTGTACCGTTCGCTTTCCTCGTGATGTCAGGTAAGCAATGTGACGTACGGTGACAAATTAAGTGGTTGGATGCGTGTGCTGACATGTGGAGCGCGAGTAATGCGACATAACGACAGGATCACCAGGTCGGATGAAACATCGCCGGGTACATAGCCCGATGTCGTTACCTAGCTTTTTCTAGCCGAGTTGCCCGGCACGTCGCCAACAAGTAAACGGCGCTCTCTTTCTTACGTACATACTCGGTCAGCTGGGCGGGCCGAAAAACCACCGTGGTGACGAGTAACGCGAGAATAAAGTTGAGGAAAAACTATGTTCCCTACTGAGCTGCCAGCAGTTTGCTTGTGATGTCTCGCGCGTGAATCTCCTTTCTTCATCGTTACGCCTCAAGCGTGAAGTAGAGACAAAAGAATGTACGGGCCGGTGAAGCTCCGCTAAGCAAAGAAATGTATATTCTCTTTCTCAAACCGAGCGTGTAAAGGAGTTATAAGGAAGGCATTGCCTTTGTTTCTTCCTTGTTCCCAGTGAATCACTGCTACCGTCGGTTGTGCATGTGCTAATCGAGATTAGTGGAACAATACCGTCATCAAATAATACCTTCACTCGATAGAAATCACTTCTCATGTCTTTTCAACTAACACTGGCACAGATATGTTATGACTAGTACAGAATGTTAGTCTTCCTGTGATTATGGACTCACAAATCAGGAACGTCTCAATATTCTGGTCATTGTCGCCACCGCCGTCCTCCAAACGGAGCCGCGATCAGTCGCTATCGCACGCTGCGCCCGGTGAGTTTGACGTTTCAGGCAACGCGTGCTCCCCAAGTTCAGTTCCCCAAACGGGTGGTGTGCTCGACGTGTCCGCGTGTAACGATGACCGTCTCGTGAAACAAGTGAATGCACCTCCGATGCTTTGTCAACGATAGGTACAACCGGACCTACCCGCGTGTGCTGTGTTACAGTGTGAACGGACCAGTGAAGGACTAAGTTCTCAAGGATTCGAGATGACTCGCCACCTGTGGCTAAGTGTACCGTTCGCTTTCCTCGTGATGTCAGGTAAGCAATGTGACGTACGGTGACAAATTAAGTGGTTGGATGCGTGTGCTGACATGTGGAGCGCGAGTAATGCGACATAACGACAGGATCACCAGGTCGGATGAAACATCGCCGGGTACATAGCCCGATGTCGTTACCTAGCTTTTTCTAGCCGAGTTGCCCGGCACGTCGCCAACAAGTAAACGGCGCTCTCTTTCTTACGTACATACTCGGTCAGCTGGGCGGGCCGAAAAACCACCGTGGTGACGAGTAACGCGAGAATAAAGTTGAGGAAAAACTATGTTCCCTACTGAGCTGCCAGCAGTTTGCTTGTGATGTCTCGCGCGTGAATCTCCTTTCTTCATCGTTACGCCTCAAGCGTGAAGTAGAGACAAAAGAATGTACGGGCCGGTGAAGCTCCGCTAAGCAAAGAAATGTATATTCTCTTTCTCAAACCGAGCGTGTAAAGGAGTTATAAGGAAGGCATTGCCTTTGTTTCTTCCTTGTTCCCAGTGAATCACTGCTACCGTCGGTTGTGCATGTGCTAATCGAGATTAGTGGAACAATACCGTCATCAAATAATACCTTCACTCGATAGAAATCACTTCTCATGTCTTTTCAACTAACACTGGCACAGATATGTTATGACTAGTACAGAATGTTAGTCTTCCTGTGATTATGGACTCACAAATCAGGAACGTCTCAATATTCTGGTCATATGTAACACTAGTAACACTGATCTCTGTAACTGTGATTATGGACTCAGTACAAATCACGAACATCTCAATATTCCGATCAGATCTAACACTAGTACGGTGCACTAATCGCCACCGCTATGATTATGGACTCGGTACAAATCACGAACGCCTCAATATTCTGGTCACATCTAACATGCGAGTGATACACTGATCTTCGTTACTGTGATTATGGACTCGCAAATCACGAACACCTCAATATTCTGATCAAATCGCTAGTATCGATACACTAATCTTTACGACTGTCATTTTGAACGATGTTTCAATCAGGACTTGATGTTTCAATCTAACGCTAGTTACACTGATCATGGTTTCAGTATAAATTACAAGCATTCAGTCTCCATAACTGATGATTATGAACACGATACAAATCACGAGGACCTCTGATCAGTACTAAATTGTGATTATGGACTTCATGCAAATCACAAGAACTTCAATATTCCGACCAGCGCTAATCTCTATGGGTCACAAATCATAAAGACCTGAATATTTGAATCAAATGAAATACTAGTTACACTAACCTCCGTTTATCCTTGTAGGAACATAATCTGAACCCTGAAGGGTCCAAAGTTTGTTCACAACATAGCAGTAATCTATTCCCGAACAGACCCACGCTAAGTGGTAATCACTCGATAGTAATCAAGTGTTGTTCGTTAACGACCGAATATAATCGGATATAACGAAAAATGAGATGTGATATAACAGAAGCAGGGAATTCCGTTGATGTAACGCGTCCATTTTATACGTACTCCCCATTGCAGTACGCACGAATTAATTATCGTTTGGCTCGTATGGTTCGATGATTGCACACAATTCAGGCCCTGTAATAACTATGAAATTGACAAAGGAAATTCTGGCAAGTCAAGGCCTATAATCAGAGTTCTTCGTAAATGCAAATCGATTTCATTTCTCTGTGAAGCGATCGAGAATGCGCCCTTTGTGCATCGATCTCTGGTCCCTCACAAACGCGAAATATCTTGCCGATCAGAGAAACGCTAACGAGTTTCTGGTAATTAAGAAGCCATTGCATCGAACTTATCCCTCTTTATTGGCAAGTCCGTAGGCCAAACGGTGGCGCGTTTATCTTTGAGCGGAAATTCAAATCGCTGCGAAGAAGGTTCGTCCCTTATCGCGTGGATTTCCTTTTCCCACGCCTCGATCCCGGCTTGATTACACTCACGAAACTCCCGTTGTTGTTCCTGTGCAAACTCATTTGATTCTAAGCTGCTTTTTCGACGATTGCACGCCTTCTGTCGGGACGTACAGCCGAAGCTTTCCACGGTTACGGATGCTACTTGAGGATTTCACGCTCAGTCGGTACATTGTTAAGACCGGATACTTGACTAAGCTACCGGAGAGTCACTTTTGACTGGCTCGGTCGAGTATAATCTCCGTGGTTGACTTGTGCACCGAGCGAGAGAAACGATTTACGACACATTAACGAGCCTTGGCTTTCCTCTCTCGCAAACTTTACCCACTGACTTAACTGAGGCGAGCGTGTAGTGTACAGTGGCAACTCGCTTTATTGCTGATGATGCTCCTCGAAACTCCTTGATGCGTGCATCGGAGGGATGCTACCGAAATCGGTAATATACCTTTGTGGTGCATACATATTTCCACCAAATGTTCACGTAACTTCTCCTAAGTCCCTTCTTCATTCTGATGACGTTTGTTAAGCAGAAAGGGACATTTTTTATCGGTTAAGATTAAGGGCTGAAAGTACCCTTCAAAGTTCCTACCCACGAGTACACTCTCGAAATACGTGAAAACCTGAGAAAGTTTTATGATTTTTTATGTACATAAGTTTCATGTACACCCAATAATAGGGTGTGAAGTGATCGAAGTATGATTTGTACATAAAATAATTTTACTCTTCAACTTATTCAAATTTATTTGATAAAAAGTGAGGAGCATTTCATTCTAAATTCTTTAACACATACTTATATGTATACTACATGTTTCTTGATATGTATTTAAGGTTTCTCTACAATTTCTCAAATTTTTACTCACATCCTGAGAATTTGAGATTTGTGAATTTCTTGATTTAATGATCTAGGGATTTGCTTGTTGAGGGATTTCGAAACATACTTATTTATAAATGTACTCACTTGAGAGCTTGGAAATTCTGTGACGTATCTTATAATAATCTAATATTTGCAGTAAACTATTTTTTAACGAAATCATGAATATTTAAATCATGGTATTGTAGTGAACAAATAATTTGTACCGAGAAAAGAGTACTTTATTTACTACTATTTGTTGCTATTTGCACTTTTGTTTGCAATAGAGCTACAGCTCTCTATTTATACTCTGAAAAGAGTAGAGACGACAGTGGAAATCCATGACAGGTACCGTTTTTGCACTCATTAAACTGAAGGGACTGTCTCGTACACGGGTATAAGGCACTTCTTTTGTTCTGGTTTTGCTGCCAACATGTAGTTCTACGCATTTTACGTTTAGCTTTGAGACTGTTTCGCAATGACTAATTTTGAACTTGTACTGTTCATTGGTTCAATTTTACAATGTAATTTATTTTTTGGTTATTTTATTGCTTTATATTCTATTTTAGCAACTTTTCATAATTATTACTCTCTGCAATTCATAATGTAAATTAATTAAATTATTTAATTTTGTTGGTGTTGAAATGAAAAATGTCCATGCAATTTTATTTTTAATGTATAAAATTGAAATGTTGATATAATTTTAGTACAACTTTGCTGTTCATGTAGGAGATAAAAATTTTGATTTTAATACAATTTTAATTTCAATATACGAGATAAAAATTTTAATACAATTTTATTGTTAATGTACAAAATTAAAAGTTTTATTTCACGTGCATTTTAAAGTTTAAACAATAAAAATATACTTGAACTGTCACAAACCAAATTTAACCCTTTTTGACCTGACAAGCTTTCACAATCCCAAGTTATTTACAATTTTTAATTGAAAATAATTTTAGATGCAATGAGTGATAAAATTATATTTTAGATTTATATGAAAATTCATATGGGTGGTACTGAAAGTGTTAATAGCAGTGATGCTGAATTTAAAGACACCCAGTACGTGAATGTATTATGTGCATACTTTATGTACACACGCATACTCTACTTATGGGATTAATCATTGGTAAACCTTGAGATCATCTGATAATCTGATCGTGTTAAGTGTATGAGTTCAGTTCTTCTGAGGGAAACTAAATATTATATCGAGATAATCAGGTTGAAAAATTTGATCATTAAGCGTGACGTGCGAAGATATTTAAATCACTGAAAATTAGTGCAAGTATAAAAAATTTAAATTATAAAATAAATAACTTATAATATCGATGCAAAACGAGCAAACATTCCTAACAATATAAGATGTACAAAAATATTTATGTAATTTAACTTGTGTCCAAATTATTTAATAAAATTCTACTGTAAAAAAAAATTCCATAATAAATATTTAAGCCTTGAAACAATATAGAAGCTCTTTATTTTTGAATCGGTGAGGTTGCAATTATTCCAATTATTATTACAATTGCAAATGTGAGAACATCTAACAGTTTTTAAATTTCCCGCGCATCGCTCTCCATCGACTCCATATTGTTCATCATTCGCGTCTACCACCCATATTCCTTCTAAACCATGAACTTTTATTACGCCTTTGAAATACATTAATTAAAGTACACTACACTTATTTTATTTAAACCCACGCAACCGTAAGAGTAATTAATTGCAACCGTTCGTGCGAGGAATAAAGGAAATCAAACAGAACACGTGTTAAAATCGAGAGTCGTCTGATTAAATCAGAGTCGACTTTATTGTCATCGTACATCAAAGAGCGATACCACTGGAACTTTGATTATAATTAAAGCGAACCGTGTCTTCGTTAATTATGCTGTCCAGTCTCTCGCGTATTTATGCGGAAACGTATAAATTCGCATCCCGGAACATGCGCCCGTATACACGCGTGTATTTTTTGCAATTAACGCGCCGTCAATTACATTCGATTGTGCCTTTGCACGATCTCCTACCGCGGAAAGACTTTTTTTTTTACAACGTGAATAAATGTAAATGACGTCGAGTAATAGCCGACCTTTTTTCATTCCGGATAGTATAAAGCCACATAAAGGAGCAAGTCCGAGCTCTTTGCGTCATTAATAATCTGCCCATTTTTCTACCAGTTAGAAACTTTTAAAACGCCATTAATTTTTTTACTCAAACGTGTAGTCAGATAAACCTGTACAGAACGTATGCACGCAGGTTTGCAGTTAAACCACCAGCA